ATCTCACCTTCGCGTTGATATAAAGAACGTCGAAGACGGAGTTCGTATGCGAAAGTTATGAATTTCTGAACTTCGGGGCGCGAACCCCAAAGCTGTGTCAGAGACCACGACGTGGCAAGCAGTGCCACGACGTGGCAAGTCTTCTGACACCTCCGGGAGTCCCCCAGATGCAACTTGAGATGACGTATGCAGTGACGACCAAGCCCACGACGTGGAAAAAGGGTGCCACGACGTGGCAAGGGCTAAATTTGCCCTATAAATAGATTTGAAGGGCCAGCCGTTTAGGGTTGCTATTTTCTCTCCTTTCTCTCCCATTTTACCTCGATTTACGTGCAATAAATATCTAGAAGCAAGTCCCGAAGCCCCGAAGATCCCGAGAAGTGCGATTCCCTAGCCAAAGCTCTGCCCGCGAGAAGTTCGATTTTTGTGAAGATCTTCCAGATCTGCTGAGGATTATTACTACTGTAAGCCGTAGTGCTGTCCGATCATCTTCTGATCAAGTGAGTGTGTAGTTATTTTCTTCCAATACAATATTATGAAGTATTTTATATAAAATACGTGCTATGTGTATATATTTTGTTGTTATATGTGTGAATGTATATTCACTATCTTCTATCTCATAGATCTGATTTATTCTCTATGAAATACGTGTTATGTGCGTGTGCCTCATCTGTTATGTGGAATATGTATTGATTAAAGCATGCTATACAGGTTTTTAAACTATGTATAAAAATGTATATTTTTATCTACTAATATGTTGGGTAGAACATGGGTAGATAGTTGGTGTGTAATAAACAGATGAGAGGCCTCGTTGTTGTTTTGATTCAGTCATCTAGCGGAGTTTAGATGATGACCACGAACTTTTCTAGATAGTCTTGTGGAACACTAGCAGGCTCACCACCTGTAGGTGTTAATGAACTTGGGTGTTCATTAGCTGTACTCCATCCCCATCATGGTTGCCTTATTTGACTTATATTGCTGAGGAACCCCCGAAGCATGTATTGTTGCCCCGATGAAATATTCTTAGACTAGGTCCCTTATGTTAGTTGTCTTAGGGATGTAAAGTGAGAATAACGGGAATGGGTAATTGGGTTATTATTGGTTGGTGGAATTAAATATAATTATTTATTGTGGGTTGAAAACCCTATATGCTCACCAGACTCCCAAGCCTGACCCACTCAGTTTCTTTGCATTACAGGTAGTGGCGCCAGAGCATAAGTTGGATGACTTGTCAAGTTATTTTTGGATTATAGACCTGTTGTTGTAAATAACTGTTGTAAAGTCTATATTTAAATGTTTATGCTTTTGGTCTGTTTATCGGAACATGACATCCCGAGTATTGTAATATAATGAAAAATACATTTCTTTAAGAAATGCTTTGGTAAATCTTATTTTATCATACTTTGTTTTTGGGAACAAATTCCGCAACTCTTTCAAATCAAAAGGATTTACTCTGAAATTATTGTAAAAGCATAAATGAAAATCGGTCTTTTCTGGCCGAGATTTTGGGGATGTCACAAAAGAAATATGAAGGGGTAACCCGGTGAACCCCTTCTTACTCATCAGATTTGATATGCTACATGGCGTTTGGTCAACTGAAAATGGTCGATGTGGCGCCCATATGTCATCTACGTCGATCTTTCCTGTTAAAACTATGTCGGTGGTGAAAGCCTTTGTTCTCTCTCATTGCTTCCTTGATCGCATCTACCCACTATCCTCATTATTCCCTAAATTAAATAATCTCACCTTACTCAATCTGTTATGAAAGAAACTCCACGGATCGATTCCCGATTTCATGGGCGAACTGTCGGAGCTGGAGGTATTACAACTCTGGGAAAACAACTTCATTGGAAGCATTCCTCAAGGCCTTGACAGGAAGAGAAAGTTACAGATCCTTGATCTGTCTTCCAACAAATTAAAAGTTCACTTCCTCCCAATCTATGCAATGGAAACAAACTCGAAACGATAATCTCTTTGGGAAACTTTTTATTTGGTCCGATTCCGAAGTATCTTGGTGAATGCCAATCGCTGAATCGAATCTGAATGGGAGAAAATTTCCTCAATGGTTCGATTCCAAAAGGGCTTTTCAGTTTGCCTCATCTCTCATAGGTTGAACTTCATAACAATCTTCTCTTCGGAGAATTCACGGTGACCGATTATGTGTCAGCGAATCTCGGTCGGGTCAGTTTTTCCAACAATCGGTTAACCGGTCCACCATTAGCCAATTTTCCGGTGTGCAGAAGCTTTTACTCGATGGACCCTATAAAGAAGGAATTGCAAACGCCACCCATCAACCACATTCAAATCACCAATCTCCGCCTCTGTAAAACTTCTTCTCGTTCTTGGCATACTTCGCTGTTCCATCGCCTTTATCATTGCAGCAATCATCAAAGCTCGATCTATCAAGAAAGCTTGCAAAGCTTGATCATGGAAGCTTACTACTTTCCAACGCCTAGATTTCACTTGCGATGATGTTCTCAATTCTTTAAAGGAAGATAACATCATCGGAAAAAGAGGAGTTGGGATTGTTTACAAATGCGCCATGCCCAACACCGAACTTGTTGCAGTGAAAAGATTGCCAACCATGAGCCGTGGTTTTTCTCACGACCATGGATTCAATGTCGAGATTCAAACCCTAGGAAGAATTAGACATCGACATATCGTCTATGTTGGTTGTTGGACTCCGGATTTTTCTTAAAGATGGGGGCATGTGGGTATGGCGGTGACTCGGTTTGTGGAGGAAAAGAGGAGTAAGGGGAAGAAGAAAGAAAACATTAGGTATTGAGAGGAGGGGTGAGGGTGGGTTTGGGTTTGATATGGGCTATTTGTTTTTCTATTTTTAATAATTAGATTTAGTTTATAACTTATGAAAAAAAGTCATGTCGTCAGGAATACCGGTAATAATAAGTAATGAGTCTTTTTTAGCACGTAAAAATAGATTTTATGCCCCTTAACTACCAAAAAAAGCCATAAGTGGTCATTTAAACCAATATACTAAACTTTGTTGGGTTATAGTGATATAAATGTTTTGACCGAATCATGTTAATAATTATAAGCAGCTTGGATATTTTGATACGTAAAACTTCAATTCAGATAAAGATCGCAAGTTATCTCTCTATGTGTATGATAAGTCTGAAAGAATTTCCCATGGTACAACCTTTCAAGCTTAATACACCAGTAAGTATTGCATATGATTTGCTTTCTTCCCCACCAAACTATAATGTAATCTCAAATTCGAAGGAACAAAGATCGTAAATGGCAAAATTTCGATCATCATGGTAACAAACATTCGTATAATCTCACCATGCTCTGGAATTTTGCTTAATATTTTGGCACCACTCCTAAATTATATGTATGAAAGTCTGATAACTGAAAGAAATGAAACAAAAAAAAGCTGGAAATCGAAACAATTATCTGATTTTCATGAAGAAACCTAGGGTTAACAGTGATGTTTAATTTTTCATTTCCATCGACATACAGTATAGACATAAATTGTCATGTTTTAATAGTAAACAAGACACGTGGAGCGCAATGAGATGTCTTATCCCAACCAAAATGATTTAAAATCTGATACAAATATTTCAAAATAAATTATTTCTATTTATTATTGAACCTGGAACCAACATTAATATGTCAGAATTAATTTTTTTTCCTCTTTAATTTTTCATTTCCATCGACATAAAGTGTATATGTCTTAATAGTAAACAAGACACGTGGAGCGCAATGAGACCCTGCCTTATCCCAAACAAAATGATCTAAAATCTGATCCAAATATTGAAAATAATTTATTTCTATTAATTAAAATCTTAAATTCCCACAAATAAAGAGGTTGTTATTGTAAAGGCCAGGAAAAAAAAAAAAAAAAAAACTTCTAGTTTTGAGACCAATCAATCCAGATATCCACCGATACCATTACACGCGTCCCGCTGCCGCATCACTAGAAAGTTAATATTATATTAAGGACCTTTTACTTTTCTACTACTGTTAATATCTACCCCGTGCTCATTTAAAAAATATAATTTTAATATTTATTAATTTTTATTATTTACATAAACATAAATTAACTTTTTTAATCATATTTCACAAGCAAATTAAGAAAACTCTTGAAAGTGGCATTTTTAAAAATTGAAGTATTAAAATATACAAATAAAATTTAATTTTTGTTAGATACAAAATAAAAGCTTTTCTTCCTCAATATTATTCCAAAAGCGTTATTAATGTTTCATATGGGTTTTATTTATTTTCCTATGTTTTTAATGGCTAACTCAAATATATTAATCCACTCATAAATCTTTCTATTTATTTCATATCCCAAATCCAGTTCGAGTTTTTTTGGCCGAATTATATCTCACCAACATTCGCCTAGCCCACTTTGTTCTTTATTTTCATATTAATAAAATAATTAATTAAGGTACTTACTATTATTATATGTTATATATATAAACGTGATATCACAAGACAGAAACTTAATTTTATATGAAAATGATGTATTCAAAAACACCAAAATACCAATAAAGCCATTTGATGATACGACCTAAAGTACATGCAACATCATTCTTATCCATAAACACGAGATTTTTATTTGTAGGGAATATAAAGCTCGAAGAAATAAAACAAAATTTTGAACGAGTTGTCTTCTTATGACACATTCAACTTGCATGCACTTGATCTAAATTCATTTTTTTCAATAAATACAAGAAAAATAGGTGTTAATATCCAAGTCTTGGAATATAAATAAAGTCTCCTACATAAATTAGATATTTTCATTGTATAATTTTATTATAAAATCACATATTATAGCACTAATTTTTTTTTTTTTAATAAAATGGAAGTAGTTAGGATCAATCTATGAACGAAAGTAAGTAGGACCAATGTATGAGGATGTATAAATCTTGGCTGATTTTGAAAACAATTAAAGTAAAAGGACTGAAATGGTAAATATTAAAAAGATTCCATTATTGGAAGTCGTAATCTGACTAGGACGGATAATGTAAACCACAATTCGCTTAAAGACACGTCATCACAAACGAGGACAACGGATAAGGACCTGCCATCTCTTGTTTTCTCTCTCACACACAACACCGAAACACACACAATTCTCTCTCTATCATGGCCTATATATCGAATCTAAAGGTTGCCATTTCTTCTCCATTATTGACCTTTTCTTTCACCCAAAGGATCAGATTGTTTAATCCATTTCGTTGTGTTTATTAATATTTAAATCAAATATTTTCCTCCTCTTTGAACGCTGTTTGGATCGTTTATAATCCACAATTTCACCATATAAATCAATCTGTAGGAGCTGATTTCAATATCTGGTATCGAAAAGTTTTAATTTGTTGTTAAGAAGAAGAAAAAATTCATGGCGTGTACTGCTGGAATGATCCATGGCTGTGTTTCATCATCGACCTCTTCATCGTCGTCATCGTGGGGGAAATTGAGAAATTCGAACAAGAAGAAGGCGGCGAGAGGAAGTGGTGGCGCTGATCAGAGGTTTAGGGTTAGATGTGTTTCGACAAGTCCTTTAGCTTCCGATCCGTATAAAACTTTGAGTATTCGTCCTGGAGCTTCTGAATCTGAGGTCAAAAAGGCTTTTAGACAGCTAGCTTTGAAGGTAATGCTTTCTCCGGTGAATCTATGAACATCTGATTATAAAAAATTCGATCTTCTCGTTGTTTATATCTGTTTCGTTCCATTAATCACATTTCTTTCCCTTTCTATCAAATTTCAGTATCATCCAGATGTGTGCAGAGGAAGCAATTGCGGAGTCCAGTTTCACCAAATCAACGAAGCTTACGATGTACGCACTCTCACTCTATTTTGAAACCCGATCCCTTACTTTTTATCACATCGAAGAATCTATTGCATGTATCGATCTAATCGATTACAGAATGACCAATTCCATCTCAAAATCGATAAAGTAACCGATTGTTTAAAAAATCTAACTTAAATTTGGGCGATGATTTGCAGATGGTGATGAGTCATTTGAGAGATGAAACAAGTGTACCAGAAATGGAGTATTATGGATCGTCGGATGCAGGGCTCGATGAACCGATGAGAGGAATGGAGGATCCTGATTGGGATATGTGGGAAGAGTGGATGGGTTGGGAAGGTGCTGGAATTCGAGATTACTCTTCACACATTAATCCATACATTTGAAGAAATTGAAGATCCATGGTTTCTAGTTTCTAAAATGAATCCAATGCATCGTTTAATTTGAATAATGGTAATTTAAGTGTCTGGATCTGTAATCTGTATATAAAGAGTAGTCTGAAGAGATGACTGTATTAACGTTCATCTCTCTTGTACATAAGTCTGATTTTATGATTAATCGTCTGTAGTTTCTGTTCAGGAATAAAAAAAATTCTTGAACTATGATCTTCATCTTTTTGTGTGTGTGGTTCATCTGTTTTTGTTTGGGTTTTTTAATACACGCCACAATCATTTTACATTTAGGGATGTCAACGGGCAAGAGACGCAAATGAGTTGAAGATCGATTAAAGTGGATAAGTCGAATAGTTTTTATAAAGTTTTATCTGGTATTATGTATGACTGTATGTGATAAGCCTACGCCAAAGAGCTTGTAGACATAGGTTAACAAACTATTAGACACAAGGGAATGTTGAAGCACTTATATTGTAATTCCATATAAACTGCATCATGAAGAGGAAGATCCGTGGCATGGATTAGCTTTGGTGGAAACATTGTCCATACGACTAATAGTAGACGTTGCCTAAATCGTGGATCGACTATTATAAAATTTTGATATCGTTAGTCCGATTTAGGGATATTTTCTTGTTGATCGTATGCAGGTTCGAGGCTGAGGGTAGTGTGTAAAATTACATGTCCCGAATAAGTCACGGGTTTTAGTCGATTTATAAAGTTAATATACTAATATAGAAAATGACTTGTGAGGCCACAACTATTGATTTTGTTAATATTCATTCATTTTTTTTTTACGCCATATATTATCAAACTTATTGAATATTCACATTTTACCTTTTGTGATAGTAAACGGTTCAACAAGTTGAATGAGATATAATCTAAAAAAAATGAAATGTGAACAAAAAAAACCTTCCCCACCACCTCCAACCATCTCATCTACCACCAAAACAACCTCTACCACTTTCACATCCGCCACCGCTATCACTCTTACCACTCTCACCACCATTGCCCCCCCGCCATCGACACCACTACCACCACCACAACCACCGTCACCGTCACCACCTCCCATCACATCCACCATCACCATCACCTCCATCAGGGTTGGTGGTTGTTCCGAAGGCGATGATGAAGGTGGAAGAGGTAGAGGCGGTAATAAAGGTGGAAAAGGTGGTAGCAATAGTGATGGTAACGGAGGTGGAGGTGGTTGTGGTAGTAAAGGGGGTGACGTTTATGGTGGCGGTGGTGGTTGTAGGCGATGGTCATGGCGGTGGTAGAGGTGGTAGTGGTAGTGGCGAAGGCGGAGCTGATGGTGGAGGTGGTGGCAGCAGAAGCGGTAGAGGTGGAAGTGGTGGTGGGGGCGGTGGTGCAGGCAGCAAACTCCACCATGTTAGGGCCTCTCTTTTCGATGGTGCAGGCAGCAAACTTCACTTTGCTTCCTTCTGGGCATAAACATATTTCGAAAATCGACTCTGTTTTCTAGAACCGTTGCATAAGAGCAATGACTCCTTCAGTCCCTTTAAAGGTTAATGGCTGGCATTTGGTGAAGTCCTTGTAGGAGAACTCTCCCTGGTGCACAGGGACCTCACCTTGAGTAGAATTGGTAGGCGTTTCACCTCCACCTGTACCGATGGGGTGATATTGTGCCATGGCTATTGCCACAACCGCGGCTACTGCAGCGTTCAGAGTTGTTGCATCGATTTGTGGATAAGGTATGGGAGTTATTGGAGTAGCGTGTCTAGGTGGTCTGCGAGGAGGCATCTTTGCTAAAAGAAAACAAATATGAGACGGAATAAGTCTATAGTAACGGACACAAGCCGAAAGCTAAAAAGACAAGGTTATCCTTGTTCTGGATGTATTGGGTCCTGACTTTCACAGGGTTCTAGGAACAATTCATAAATGAGTTTATACCAAATAAACTCTATGAATTTGAAATAACTATCCTCGAATGAATATCTATTTTCTGAATAACTGTTACCAGCTGCATGTAAGAAAATAATTCTAACACATGTAATGTGAGCAGTGTTTCCACTCGCTCGATAAATTAACCTAATTAATATTTATTAGTGTGACGCATAAGACGTTTTGGTTACTTCGGCTGATCTTTCCTTGAAGTCTTCTCCTGAATTTGTCCTTATTCCTCCTGCACTTTTCGGTTGTCTACTATGAGGAAGTGGTTACGTTTTATCTCGGCTTGTCGTGCGAGAATGAAAGTGACTAAAGAACCTATGAGCTTTAAGGTAACTTTATGGGGTGATCCTTACGGAATTCTCCTATAATCGTACTAGGTACACCAGTTTGCATTGTATATAATTGAAGATCAAATAGACCTTCGAATAATTGATCCCACCTCAACACTACTTCCTTAAAAGGAATGGATAGTGAAGCGTCGGTCACAGATTCTATGTCTATGAGATCTTGATTATATATAAAACTTTATGAATATACCATGTAAGACTATAGATCTATCCGCAAGGGTCTTTTAAGTTATCACATAAGTTATTTATCTGGACTAAAATACTCCTATAGTATTCTAACTCTAACTGTACTTGTTCTGGCGTTCTCTTGGCTGGTGTTTCGGTAAGTTTTAACTCTGTTGCAACACCACATCATTCCCAAACACATGTCGGTCACATCTCGAATGAATATAGTTGATCAGGCTATATTGATCCTAGCTATGATTACATAACTGTTCAGGTTGACGACAGTGTCTAACCTTTAAATACTTTTAGTTTTGTTCTCCTTGTGATCCTAGTTCTATTATGTACATGTATGAGCAAGTACGTATATTTTTATAACTTGAAGCTATACTCTAAAATATATCATTATCCAGAGCACTTAAGCCCCATTGTATTCATAGACGTATATCTTTTATCAATTGATATACTTAATTCACTATAAACAATGCTCTGATACCAATCTGTCACATCCCCAAAACCAGAACGGCGGAAACGTTCGGGGGTGGAGGACGTCATGTCAAGTATCACGAGATATGTATATGGTAAGCAAGTAATGAACAACCATTTCATTTAGAAAGAAAGTGTTTACAATGTGTGTGTTCACAAAACATAGAAGTCATAAACAAATAACGAAACAAGACTTGAAGCTGTTATGCTCCATCTTCTAAATTCCCAGCACAAGCACCTGTCTAATAGTCTCCTGAGAATACAAGTTATTTGAAAGAGTTGATCAGCAATTAAGTTTGTGAGTTCATAATATTTTAGTGATATAAGTAAGCTGTAAAATGTAGAAAAATGTATATGTAAAAGTGATGTAAGTTGTAAGTTCTGTTGTGAAAAGTTTGTCTGTTCCTCTAGAAAATCCTATATTTCCTACTTTAATGGAAGTTAAGTAAAATGTCACTACAAGCCTTTCTATTCGTATTAAGTGGGTACAAGTTATATATACTTGGAGTAAATAAACAATCAATTGTGCGTATCCGCCCTCAACTCACAACCCAACGGGGTACAGTAAGTAAGGCGGATCGCACACATTCCATTGGTTGTTAGATCATTGCATATATAACCTTGGTGTATTCACTTGTTACTCATGGAGTTATTTGTAATGATTCCTTTATATCTAATGGAGAGTTCTTTTAAGAAAACCTATATTTCTTATAGTAAAACATTGACTACGGTGATTACTTTTATAATAGCTTTGTTTATAATGCTATATATAATTTGATATCGGGTAGATAGCTAATTGGGGGAATCTGCCCTAAGCCCACATCCAACGGGAACAGGACGTCGGGGGAAGACACACATTTAACTATCTATTGGATATTAGTCTTATATATAAACATGGTGTATAAACTAAGGTGTTATAGAGTTAACTCACTTAAAGTCTTTAAAACTGTACTAGCTTAATAAAATGGATTAAGACCTTAACTGGGAAATCGCTAGTTTTGTATACAAAAAGTACTGACTTTGAAAAGTAAGTTTTGTACCAGAATAACTGTGCGTTGACTCTGTGTCCTATGACCTGATCCATACCTGGTACCCTTATGATGACTTAATATATACTAAGCATAAATATATATAGATTCGGGTAGATAATTGATTGGGTGATCTTGGTGTAAGCCCACATCCAACGGGAACAAAAAATACAGCGAAGAGCACACATCCTATTAGCTGTCGGGATCTACTTAGCATATATGTATCCTATAGTGTATACATTAAGGAATCATAACGTTAGCATTATGGTCCTAAACTTTTAAAAGTAGCCTTCTACCAAGACTCGATTGTTTTGAAAGTAGTCTTCTACCAAGACTCTACTGTTTTGAAAGTAGTCTTCAACCAATACTCGACTGTACGACTATTATTAATTAAATCTAATTTACCATATCGATGACATGAATAAGACACATGGTAAAGGTATTAATAATATTGTAACTAGAATTTTATATCCTTCTGTAATTGTCGTGATGACAGTGTAAGTACTGTAGTAATTGTAATAAGTGACTACTTTAAGTACTATTGTGCCTTATTTGACGGTTAAGGCATAATGTGATGGCTCGATCCTATGCTAGACGCTCACTTGTCAAGAGATTCTAGGAACTTCACGTGACTCCTGCATGAGTGCAAGCCACAAACATCCACATTACTATGATCATGTATACCCAATATAACTATCACTAATGTAAAAGTGATTCATTGGTATAGTTAGATCCTGAAAACGTTCCATGCTATAGCACCTTATTATGTTCTGTTCTGTTATCATGTATTGTTATTGTACTTATGTAAAAGTATTCCATGTAAGCGTATCTATGTAAACGTATTTATGTAAACGTATACCATTATTATAGACTCGTGAACTAAACTAACTCTTTGTGTGCTTCATTGTACTAGAAGTAATGAATAACATTCTCCTAAACTATACCTATAATAGTTTACTAATGTTCTACCTGGACTGTTACTAAAAAGACTCATTTATCTACCAAGTTATGCTTATACTTTAAAAACGGAGTTTTGTATAACTATAAAGTAACATAACCTTTTAAAAGAGTTTTGGAATGTATTGACAACTTATAAATAACATAAGTAACATTTTGAAAGATGTTTATAACAAACATTTCCACAATTATCATTGTGTTCAACTTGTATTCTCTCTCCCCCCCCCCCCTAAAACAGTTAAAATAGATAAAAGATTCATTACGAGGTATGAACTCACCTGATGTGGGTGATTCAAACAAGTATGCGCGTACAGATGAGAAGTTCCACGAATGAAGTCCCGAGACACAATAAGTCCTAAATGATATATAGGGACACATATTGACATGAATATAGTGGTTATAAACAACTATATGAAAGATAACACCTTCTGGGGACTAGGAAACACCTTGGCGAGGTGTTGGAATCACATGTGATTCAACATAGGAAGGTATAAGGCACACACATGAGTTCACGGCCCAAGGGAGTTTACGACCGTAAACTCATGGCTACTCATGTGTGAATGCAAGTTTGAAGGCTAGGGAATGATTTAGGGACATTAGCTCTAACCTAGGATGAGAAAGACCACCATCTTTGGAGTTTTTGAGGAGTTCACGGCCCTAATGAGTTTACTGTCGTAAACTCATGGCCATTTATGTTTATGAGGGTCCGAAAGGTCATAAGGAAGCATCCTAAATTCAAGCCTAATCCTTAGGAAGTGTTTGTGGCATCAAAACACTCTTATCTTGAGTTTACGGCCCACAGACCATTTGGTCATGTGCTTGCGGCCGTAAACAACTATGGGTGTTGGAATTTTGATTGTTTTGG